TTGTGATGTACACTTTATTTTTAGTGTGAAATGGAGTTAAGATGAACCCTTTCCTCTCTGTTCCCTCTGTGTGGAATCTCCAGGCAGGTTTGCAGCGAGGTGCTTAAGAGACCCCTCAGCTCCAGGCTGGTGTCCCAGCTGCCCTGTCCCTGCTCCAGCAAAGTCCTGGGTCTGACGCTCAGGGCTGCCGGGGCACCTGCCCGCCCCAGAGCCGGTCCCCGGGGCAAGGCCAGGCCCTGTTAGAAGGACGCTGAGAACACCAGCAGGCAGAGGGCAGCAGGGCAGGACCCAGGCGGGCCCCCTGGGGAAAGAGCAGCACCCAGCAGGGCTGGGGCTGAGGGCGCCTGGGGCGGGCGTGTGACCGTGTCAGCAGGGCCGTGGAGCACCTTTTGTGTAACAAGGTTCCTTAGAAGCGATCTCGTCAGCCTCGCGTCTGCTCTTCTCACTGACGCCAGTTCCCCGCCCCGAGCTGAGTGTGCAGAATCGCCCTGGACTTGTAGCCCTGCCTCCCCCCGAATCGCGTGGTCTCAGGGTGACTGTCACCCGGAGAAGAACGTTAAGCGGGTTCTCAGCCTGGCACTGGTGGCGTCTGGGCCAGATCACCCTCTGCGGTGGGGCCGTCTTCTGTGCTGTGAGGGGTCAGCAGCATCCCTGGCGCCCACCGCCCCTCAGTGTGGCAGCCAGAGTCGGCTCAGGCACCAGCTGTCCTCGGGGGCGGGCGGCCCTGGCTGGGACCCGGCGCTCAGAGCTGCTGGGGTCCCAGGACATTGTGCCTCCACCCCCAGCTGCAGGGACCAGAGGCCACCTCGCGGGCCAGGGGAGAGGTCATGGCTGTTGGCAGAGGGGTCATTTGTGGGAGGAGCTTGAGACACTGGCCCTTGTACCCTCTGGTCCGGGATGCGTCCAGCACTGTCGCAGCTGGTGCTGCCACCACAGCCTTTGTCCTGGTCCTTGACCCCGAGCCCCTCTGATCCCCAGCCTCTCTGACCCCCAGGCTGCTCCTCCAGGCTGGCTATGACCCAGAGCTCCGAGATGGGGACGGCTGGACCCCCCTGCACGCGGCGGCCCACTGGGGTGTGGAGGACACCTGCCGCATGCAGGCGGAGCACGGTGGGGGCATGGACTCGCTGACCCATGCGGTGAGGCCCTAGCCCCCCATTTTGGGACTGGCGGGGGGGTGAGGAGGCCCCCACACCTTCATCTGCCCCTTCTCCCCTCCCCCCCAGGGGCAGCGGCCCTGTGACCTGGCTGACGAGGAGGTGCTGAGCCTGTTGGAGGAGCTGGCCCAGAAGCAGGAGGACGTGAGTCTCCGTCCCACCCCTCTGGGGCAGGGAGGGGGGCTCTGGTCCTGACCCCAGGGCAGTCTCATTCCCACTGGTGACCGAGACCCAGTGGAGGGCGCGGCTCCGTTGGGCAGTCGCAGGAGGCGGGGCCTGAGGATGTGCACGCCACCCCCCCACACCCCCCCCCTGTGCAGGCTGGGCCTCGAGACCCCCAGGGTCCCTCCGACTAGCACCAGGGGGGGTCCTTGTGTCTGGAAAAACGGGGAGTGAAGAGTGAACGGTGTGGGCTCCGGCTCTGGTGGATTTCTGTGGGAGCGCGTGTCCGGGTCCTGGGAGGGGAGAGAGTTGGAGCAGGTCTCCCCTGGAGGGTAGGGACACCCCTAGGGATGAGACCAGAGGCTGGAAGCGGGAGGCCCCGGGGAACAGGGCGCCTGTGGGTGCACACGGTGCGTGCGCGATGGGACCCAGGTGCTGGGGCAGCTGCTCGGCCATCTGAGCTCTCCCTGCGCCCGGAGCTGAGCTCCCTGTGCAGCACCTGGGAAGCCGTGACCATAGCTGTGCGGTGGCCTTCCATGTTGGGGATGTGGGACCCAGGACCCCCAAGTTCTGCCCCTCCCAGCAGCCCCCTTTTCCCTGCAGCTGCGGAACCAGAAGGCCGCCTCCCAGAGCCGGGTCCCGGAGCCCCAGGTGCCCTCCAGCAGCAAGCACCGAAGGTACCAGGGCGTCTCCCTGGGGGCAGGGCGGGAGGCGCCCAGGGCTTGGACCCTGACACCCCCCCTCCCCACCAGGAGCTCCGTGTGTCGTCTGAGCAGCCGAGAGAAGATCTCCCTCCAGGACTTGTCCAAGGAGCGCCGGCCTGGGGGGGCAGGGGGACCCCCCATCCGGGATGATGACGACGAGCGAGAGGAAGGCCCCACAGGTGAGCCGCTGGGGGCCTGGACTCCTGGGTCTGAGGGAGGAGGGTCTGAGGGTCTGGGGAGGAGGGCCTGGTTCTCACAGGCAGTGGCATATTCTTTTTTATTTTTAAAATGTTTTTGTTGATTTTTAAAGAGAGTAGAAGGGAGCGGGAGAGAAAGAAGCATTGATGTGAGAGTGAATCATTGATTGGCTGCCTCCTGCTCACTCCCTGTGTGGAGGATCGAGCCCACAACCTGGGCATGTGCCCTGACCAGGAACCAAACTGGTGACTTCTTGGTTCATGGGTTGATGCTCAACCATTGAGCCACACTGGCCGGTGCTGCTGGCATATTCCTATTAAGATCTCATTTTCTTACCCAACAGAGCCGCCCCCTGCAGAAACCAGAGCCCTCAACGGAGTGTCCTCCCCGCCACCCCCCAGCCCTAAAGGCCCCTCGGTGAGTCTGGATGCCCTGGAGGCCCTGCATGCAGAGGGGAGGGGAGGGGAGGGGAGGGGAGGGGAGGGGCTCCCATGAATCCTGTACATCTCTTATCTGGGTAGATGGGGTGAAGACTACAGTTCCCAGAATCCTCTAGTGCAGCTGACTCTGCTGCACCTGCTCCAGGGGCTGATGGGAATTGTAGTTTGCTGTGGTCCTGGGGGGAATATTTGAAATGTCTGGGAAGAGGGACCCCTTCTCCGTCACTGAGACCTTTCTCTGACCCCAGACCTCCGAGGAGGTCCCCTTCTCCAGGCGCTTTGGCCTCCAGAAGACGGGGAGCTCTGGTGCCCTGGGCCCTGCAGACAGACAGGGGGCGGAGGGTGCCCCTGGGGCTGGGCTGCAGCGCTCAGCTTCCTCCTCGCTGCTGGAAGGGACCGCCACTCAGGTGAGTGGGGCGAGAGGCAGGGGGCAGGCCCTGCGAGTCAAAGCTGCTGGCCAAAGAGAATACCCCCTCCTTCCCTCTCTCCGCAGGCCAAGGAGCCCCGTCTTGCCAGAATTACCCCCACTCCCTCCCGGAAGGTGCCAGAGCCCTCGGCCCCGTGAGTACCCGGGCCTGGGCCCTGCTGAGGTGGGGGCAGGTCTGGCTTCCAGCCTTGTTGGTGTGACCCCGCGCAAGTGCTGCTCTCCGCGGTCTGCTCCCTGCTCCCGCCACGTGAAAGCTCACAGTGAAGCATGTCAGGCCACAGTGCTCCGGCCTCCTGCTCCTCTCCCCTGGCTTCCACCTGTGCCGTTGCCAACACCTCCCACTCCTGCCCCAGGACCTTTGCTCTGCTCTCCCTCCCTCCGGTCTGTTTCCCGTCACCTTCCCCGGGAGGCCCACCGCGGCCACTGGTCACACTGCCCTGGTGCCCGGACACGCGGGCCCTCCCGCCTCCCGTCCTTGCTCTGTTTCTTTTCTCCCACGGGCTGACCCTCCGATGTGCCCGAGATGGACTAATCTTTACGGTTGTTGTGTATTTCACATCCTTTCTGCTCAGATTGGCCTCACTGGGCAGAGGGCATTGGTTGCTCTTGCTCATTACTGTTGGCGGGCGCCTGCCACCTAAGGCGAGCTCGAGTGATGCTTGCTGAACAAGTGAATTCACACGGGTGACAGAGCACCAAACCTCCTCCCTCATAGCTCCACTCCCCCCTCCAGGATCCCGGAGCCTGAAGCCCCAGGGAAGCCAGCTATCCCTGCCGCCTCCACAGCGCCCCCAGCGGACTCCCGCGACCGCCGGAGGTAAAAGGCCGGGCAGTGTCTCCCCAGGCTCTGGAGAGAAGGGTCCTCTCCACGAATTTGCCTCCCCCAAGGGTGTCAGCCAAGGACAGGCCCAAAGGAACCCTCCCTGAGGTCAGGGCTCTTCACGCAGGTCCTACCAGATGCCTGTGCGCGACGAGGAGTCAGAATCCCAGCGGAAAGCTCGCTCTCGCCTCATGCGCCAGTCTCGGAGGTCCACACAGGTGTGGGGGGCGGGCTGGGCCTGGACCCCTGGGTCTGAGGGAGGAGGGGCTGGGGGCCTGGGCTCCTGGGTCTGAGGAGGAGAGGGGCTGGGACCTGGGCTCCTGGGTCTGAGGGAGGAGGCTGGGGGCCTGGACTCCTGGGTCTGAGGAGAGGACGGACTGAGGCCTCGACGTCCAGGGGCGAAGTGGGGGACGAAAGCGCCTCAATGTACACAAGATATCTCCCCTGCCAGGAATTTCCGAGCGAAATTTAAGACCTCTCCTGCACCTTAGACCGAACTTTGATGACCCTCCTTAAAAAGTAAGAGAGGACCTCTGGGGCCATGTTTGGGCTCGGTTTACCAAACGGCCTATTAAACCCACATTCTTGGACCGGGGGGAATTTATCCAGAACCTACAATTCGCGAAGAATTTTAATTTCTTTATTTTGGGGTCAACGCCCATGGGGTTGTTTCCACCCAATTGTGGGTGGCGAAATCTCCTCCCGGTCCCGCACGGATATACTTTCCCACTT